GAGGAGGACGGAGGGAGGGAGGAGGGAAAAGGTAGGTGCAGGGAGGAGGGTGGGAAGGAGGAGGAGGAGGGGTGATGGGAGGGGGGAGGTAAGGACGAGCAAGAAGCTAGGAAGGAAGGTAGGCAAGGAAGAGGAATGTAGGCAGAGGAGTAGAAGAAGGGCTGCTACATACATGTGCACCAGATGGCGCTGCTATGAACAAGCGCACCAGATGGCACTGCCATGCGCACGTGCTCCAGAATGTGCTGGTATGTACCATGCGCACCAGATGGCGCTGCTACGTGTACCAGATGGCGCTGCTACGTGCACCAGATGGCGCTGCTACGTGCACCAGGTGGCGCTGCTACGTGCACCAGATGGCGCTGCTACGTGCACCAGATGGCGCTGCTACGTGCACCAGATGGCACTGCTACGTGCACCAGGTGGCGCTGCTACGTGCACCAGATGGCGCTGCTACGTGCACCAGATGGCGCTGCTGCGTGCACCAGGTGGCGCTGCTACGTACCCTGTGCAGCTCTCCTCGTTGCTCATCCAGCTGCGTCTCCAGCCTCTCAATTCGCTCTTCCGCCGATCCATGTCGCTCCTGCGCCTGTAACACAGCCAGGTGAGTACAGGTAAATATAGGTACGTACAGGTAAATATAGGTAAGTACAGGTAAATATAGGTAAGTACAGGTAAACACAAAGGTGAGTACAGGTAACTATAGGTAAGTACAGGTAAACACAAAGGTGAGTACAGGTAAATATAGGTACGTACAGGTAAATATAGGTAAGTACAGGTAAATATAGGTAAGTACAGGTAAACACAAAGGTGAGTACAGGTAACTATAGGTAAGTACAGGTAAACACAAAGGGGGGTACAGGTAAATATAGATAAGTACAGGTAAACACAAAGGTGAGTACAGGTAAATATAGATAAGTACAGGTAAACACAAAGGTGAGTACAGGTAAATATAGGTAAGTACAGGTAAAGACAAAGGGGAGTACAGGTAAATATAGATAAGTACAGGTAAACACAAAGGTGAGTACAGGTAAATAT